TATTGTGCCATTTGCTGCAGGACCTTGCCAGTCTGCTGTGCTAGATCAAATGTAGGAGAGAGGCAAAGTATCTAAATAAGGAAAATAGTCTCAGAGATTAAGAGAGGGTGTGATTGTTACTTGAGGGTAAGGCTTAGATGCATCCACTCTGGTTAGCATTGCCAAGACAAAAGCAGCTGTCTTTCCAGTCCCACTTTGACTTTGAGCAATTAAATTCTGAGGACTATAATCAGAAAAAAATACATTTAATTAAGCTCTCTTGCTCAGTATTTAAGTATCCCTCCCTTCTTTTGTAAGTATCAACTTACGGGTCAGCTAGTAGAAGTGGTAAAGCCTTTTCTTGTATCTTTGATGGCTTGCTGAATTTCATACTATAAATACCTTTCAAGAGGTTAGGGTGCCTTTATATGAGAGAGAGGTGTTAAATTGTTAATGTACATTATCATAGCATTATCCTGACAAAACAGTAAATAAAAAAAGCAGGAATTGTTAACATTGTTTTGACAACTTACAAAAACCTGAAACATGCTCGTAACTTAATATTAGTTTTGCAAATATGAGAATAGGCTCAGACTTCATGCATGGCCAAAACTTAAAGGAATGTTTCGATTTTTACTTTAAGTTCTAACAAATCATACGATATTAATTATGTAATTCTAAACATACAGGTTTAGCTCCTCAAATGTTGTTGCTGAGTAAAGAGGAGAAGATGGATCATTTTGGACCACATGGACTTCACTATAAATATCAACGAGTTTCTTCCGTAGTATCTTCGTGAACAGTGATGCTTCAGCTTTAGTAAGAGGAGAGTCCTCAAACTCTTCATCAATAGTAGCTAGAGTGCATGGAGTGGTTGATCTTAATGATTGAGTGATACCAGCTGCAGCTGCTGGAGTGAAGCCAAGTCCTGATGTAGGCCAGGTTGAAGTTGAGGACTTTGTGATTTGGGCCTCTCTTTCCTGTTGATGTACTGCTTGGATCCAGTTCACTGTATCAGCCATTGTTTAGAATATAAAGCTACAGGATTTCACAGCCTAACAGGCAGCAAAGTTTACACTGTCTAGCTAGCTACACGAGGGCTCGGGAGTAGCCTAGGCTAATCACGTGATCATACTTGCTGCAAAATAGGAGTCGCTGAGAAATGGCTAGTTGTAGTCCTTCTGTGTCTCTTCAAACTCTCAGTAGGTCTAATAGCAGTTAACTTTAATTATAACTAATGGGTAGGTATTGATGATCTAAATGATGTTTTGCAGCTTCTTAAGGATTGTGACTTCCCTGACAAAGAATGGATGACTCTTGGCCTCAACCTTGGCTTAACCAAAAATACATTGGACAGCATTGAAGCCAATCACCCTAGGGACGTTCACCGTTGTTTAGTTGAATGCCTGTCCAAGTGGCTTAAGAAAGCAGATAAGGTTATTAGCCCTACTCATGAAACCCTATCCACTGCAGCCCGTTCCATTATGGAGATTGCTGTAGCTGAGAAAATTTCGGAGAGAAAGGATCAAGAGAGTGAGTTAACATTAATATTATGACATCACAAATCAACATAATTGTTATTTTCAGAAATAAATCATGTACTGGCTCTTAGCATTTTTGATAGCTATTATTCAAAACTCCTACAGACGTTGTCTGACCCAGCAACTATGGCTTATAAGTTGCACAAGGAAGGTGTGTTTGAACGGGAAGTACTAGAAAGGATCGAATCAGAAAGTTCCTCTATCTCTAAGCAACGGGAAATATTGTTGGATTCCCTTAAAGAAAAAGTGGTAGCACAATATACTTGCCTTGAAACTTTCATCATTTCATTATGCAAGTTTACTGATGATACCAAAGAAGGCCTTGCTATGAAGAAAGACTATGGTACATGATACTATATATTTGAGTTTTTTATTGTCAATTTTATAGAAGCAAATGGCATTAAAATTCAATCAGAGAGGCAGCTTGAAGAAAATCAAGGCTTAAAAGGTATAGTACTGAATACAGAAGGGCATCTTATTTCATATACATTTCAAGCCTTGTTCAATGTGTTGCTATTTTAACAACTTTGTAGTAATAGAGCTTATACAACACTGAATTCTTGCTATTATATTTACATTAATTTATGCATTGTTATTTTAGGCTCTGTGCTTTATAATGGAATTTTGTATCATCAACAAAAGGAAGTTGGATGCTGGGAAACAACATTAGCTGTTGGCAAAGATGCAAATGCACTTATACAAGTAATATCTATATTGTGTCGTAATTGTGACAAATAATATTATTGTATAGCATATTAAAAGTACATTTCCACATGCTGAACAAGATACTTCAATATCATTTACTTTCACTCAACCTAATGGCATACTTGAATTGAAACTGAGTCCTGTAGGAAGAGTTCCATGTGAGTATGGATGGAGACTAGATCCTAAGCAAGAACCAATGCAAGTATGTCCACACACAAATACATAATTCTATCATATTATCTAGGTACTTCAGAGTTTTGTTGACAATGCTTTGATGGGTAGTTGCAGTATGTCAGTGTCTGCTAAACCAGGTGTTGCTACTGAACCAATTCGGCATCCAATCAAGTTACTTGGAATAGAACCTGAAACTACTATATACATCAACAGACAACCTCCTCCTTCTCCTTCCCCTGCTGCTCCATTAGAAAGTAAATCAACTGATGTAGTTACTATTGTATTTATATTCTATTTATTAGAAAAAATATCGAATGAAAGTATTTTAGCTATGCATAAATATGAAATAGGTAATAACATGAGCACTATATATAGCTCAATACTAATGAATTGGTTTAAGATGCAAAATAGATACTGTTTGTCAAATAATACAGAAATCCTTCATTAATAGGTGGATGTTCTGATTATGGTAGTCAAGTCATAGCAGAGGAATCTGATAGAATAAAGAAAAATCTTAAGTTGACTCCGAAGTTAATGCAGAGTTTAGTTGAGAGAGAAGTAATTAAGGAAGAGATTAGAGATTTTTTTAATGAGACCTATGACATGACTGATAATGAAAGAATGAATATGCTACTCTCATTTGTCAAAGCTGCTGTTAAAAATGATGGTGACAATTTTCTATTCTTTTTGGAAGCAATGAGAGATCAGGATTCTGCAAAAGCTAATGAATTAGCAGATGATTTGAAAGAGTTTCATGATGACATGTATCGAAATGATTTACCAAATGCATTTGTTGATGGAAAGTTTGTTTATCTTGATTATTAAGTATATTAACATAATTTTTTACTTTGCTTGACCTTGACATAATTATTTTTTTGAAAATTAGTTTTAATTAAACAAATAATTGATAAAAAACCACATAATCATCACAATATCAAAAACTGTACAACATAGTAATAATAATAATAACAATGATAATAATAATAATATGAGATGATGAGGGTGAGGGGAGAGAGAGTATGAAGCATCTGTCTTAATTCTAATCAAAAATATCAAGATCAAGCTCGTTAAATATATTATTAGATCTAAAAGGATCAGCATCAACTTGATTCAAGAGCTGCTGCAGGTCAGAGCAATTCTCAAGCCCATCAATCAAACTGTGATAAGCTTGAGCTGAGCCCTCGAGATCAACTTCAGCAGGAAACAGGCCAGGAGGAAAGCCGTAATTGAAATCTTTTCTGTGTGGGGTCGGTGTTGTCATCTTCATGTAATTTTCAACAAGTCTCTGAGCAGTCACTGCATTCTCCTGCACTGTAGTGTCTGCTGGTTGAGTGACTACACTTGAAGACTGAGAGTCCACAAGAGACTGAGAGGAAGTAGAGGGAGCAGGAAGAGGAGGAGGTATGGTGCCGCTGCTGCTGCTTTTTGAAGTCTGCTGCCAGTTTAAATCAGGAAGAAGGCCGGTGAGTTCATTGTTTTTCATTCCTCCTCCTCCTCTATTACCACTTGCTCCTCTATTAACAGGCCCAGAGGTTGATTGTTTGGAGGCATCAACTTGTGCCACTGTTTCTTGAGCCTGCTCTGACTTCTCCCCTCCAGTTGACCTAATAATAATAATAATAATAATAATAATAATAATAATAATAATAATAATACCATACTTATAACTTAAAAATAGCTTTACACAGCATTTGTAAATTGATAACCCTCACCTTGTGTGTACTACGTTAGTGCACACAACATACTCCACTTGATGAGAGAATGGATTAACAAAACTGAAGGCTTTCATTGCAAGCCAAACCCACTTCTTGTCCTTTGAGAGGAACCGATAATGGACAGTTGGCATTGGAGTCCTCTGCTTCATTGCTAAAGAAAAGGAGAGACTCGTTATGATGTTAGGAGAGGGATTAAATTAAAGTACCTTCATGGTGGAGCTGTATCATCTTTTGCATGTCATCAGGATGGAAGTAATCATAGGAGTTGTGACCAATGAGATCTTGGGGAAGATAACCCAAAATATTAGAGACACTAAAAAAATAAAATAAAATAAAATAATAATGATACATGAAGGGAAAAAAAGAGAAGCAAAAAAGTTTAAATACCGTGGGTCAATATAGCTGAAACGTCCATCAACTCCAACTCTTGCAATAAACTCTCTATCATTGCTAGGTAGCATGGAACTAGCACAAGCGGAAGAGGTGGAGTCTCCGAAATGCTGCAACCTAGCAACAGCAACAAGACAGGCCCCGTTGGCATCTTTCTCAACTTGTAAAGATTGTCTCTCAGCCGGAGTCAGATTCCTAATAACCATTAATAACCTTTAATAACCAGTACTTAATAACTAATATGACAACATTAAACATTTCAGATAGCCATAACTTTAAAAATATTAATCAAAATCAGCTCAAACTTTCCATACAGCATAAATATATCAATATGTATCAGAAAATGTAATAAAAATTTGGGGTGATTTCAGAGCCATTTTTTGGAAAAAAACCATGAGCTATAGCCTTGGGTATTTTTCAAAATTTTGGCATTTTCTTAAAATGGCTGTAACTTGAAAAACTGAAGTCGGAACCAGCTCAAAATTTCTACAAAGCATAAGCACATGAATATGCATCAGAAAATGTAATAAAAATTGGGGGTGATTTCGGAGCCATTTTTCAGGAAAAACCATGGGCTATAGCCTTGGGTATTTTTCAGAATTTTGACATTTTCTTAAAATGGCTGTAACTTGAAAAATTGAAGTCGGAATCAGCTCAAACTTTCTACACAGCATAAGTACATCAATATGCATCAGAAAATGTAATAAAAATTGGGGGTGATTTTGGAGCCATTTTTCAGGAAAAACCATGGGCTATATAGCCTTGGATATTTTTCAAAGTGTTGGCATTTTCTTAAAATGGCTGTAACTTGAAAAATTGAAGTCGGAATCAGCTCAAAATTTCTACAAAGCATAAGGACATCAATATGTATCAGAATATATAATTAAAAATAAGAGATAATTCTGGAGCCATTTTTTGAAAAAAACTATGAGCTATTATAAAAATTAGATGGTCATAACTCAAAAATTGCAGCCAAATTCACTCTAACTTTCTACATATCACGAGGCCACTGTAAATCTAATGAAAGGCATGCTTTTGTAGACCCAAAGACAGCTGGACTGTAGCCAAAGTTAGTGAATTTTTGTAATTTTACAAATAAATATGCTAACCTAATAAAACCAGTACAATGTAGCACGGCATATTGATTTGGTAGTGATGAAGTAATAGATTTCTCTGATTCACAATCAGTTGTACCCTAAAGAGATAATAGCAATAATAATGATAATAATAATAATAATAATAATTCAATATTAATGTAGTCAATAAAACCACAAAGCCTCACACATCAAAGATGACTATATTACATATATTAATTAAATTACATCTACAGATATTATTATTATTTATACCATACACCTCCATATTAGAATTGTTTTCATACGCACAATAGCTCCAGTATAATAAGTATAGGTGATGTACATACACATACAAGTATGTGTGTGAGACAGTGTGACATTGGTTAACCACATTAGGGTAGAGAGATAGAGGGATAGTAAACAAAGGTTATGAGAGGTAATTACATTAGAAGAGGATGTTGAATCAGGTGAAGCCATTATTGACTGGCCCCTCTTCACTCTGCACAAGAATGATCTTCTCAGTCCATTCATTGACTGTGGGTGCATTACCAATGGAGCTATAGAGAGAGAGAGAGAGAGAGAGAGAGATAAAAGGAGAAAAAATTATTAAAGTAAAGGAAGCAATAAGTGAACAAGTGATAAAGTGTTTAGTACATGTGGACAATGGCCTTACATTTTGAACTGTTGTGTTTTGAATTAGCAGCAAGAGCTAAAAAAAGAATTTAAATAAATTTAAAAATCGTGCCTCCTACACATCATCATCCCTTACCTTCTTCAACATCAAATGATGCTAGCTGCTCCTTAACCTTTTGAATATCCTTTGGGTGCAGTAAGTCATAGAGCGTTGAGCCGATCCAGTTCTCCTAATGTAAGATCATGTGACTATCAAGTGAGTATCGTGTGACTTACAGCTGGCTCGTGAAGCACATCAGATATTGTATCAGACACAAATAAGACGCAGGCTTTGTCACAGCTAATAATCATCATGAATCCATTAGCAGCCTAAGGAGAAGGATTAAAAATACTTTAAATAATAATTATTACAATACCTCAACAACTAGTTGTTTCAGTTCGTCATCTGTTAGGAAACCAGGCTTATAATCAGAGTTACAATGAGGGTCACCTACCAAAAAGGAAAGAGATAAATAGTGGGAAACTAACAGAATGTGAATGATAATAATCCACAAATAAGAAAGAGCATTGCATACATGCATAGCACATGTGCATACATGTACGTGTGCATATGTAGAGATTAACATTATTAAGATGGATATACATAATAAGTAAACACTATTATAAAATGTATCCTCTTTGATTTAAGTTGTGTACATGACATTAATCATAAAAATAATGACAAGAATTAGTATACATTACACAGTACATGTACATGGTGCAGGTGATATCAAGAGTATATGTAGGTCTACTTTTCTTAGTGTAATTAAATACTGTACCTCTTAGATTCTTCATGTGGTCAACTGCCATCTTTAGAATTGACAGCTTATCAAGTTTACGTGGTACTGCGTTACAAGCTGGTATCATCTGAGCCAGCTCAGACATGTAGCGGTTCATTTTCTCTCTTCTTCTCTTCTCAACCTCACAGTGCTGTGAACGCCTATGAGAGAGGGGAAGAGGGAGAGAGAGAGGGAGAGAGAGAGAGAGAGAGAGAGAGAGAGAGAGAGAGAGAGAGAGAGAGAGAGAGAGAGAGAGAGAGAGAGAGAGAGATGAGGAGGAGGAGGCGAAGGAGAATAAGATGAAACACATAAGTTATTGGCCTCCCTCTCCCCCTCCTTACTTTGCTTCTGCTGATAGTTTAGATCCAGACATGTTCTTGTGTCTATGAGACTCCTCATCATCAGATAACCTATCATGATCCAGTGGTAACATTGGCAACATCATCGACCCAATTGAGGGATGAGGATGATGGGAACCAGCCATGAGCTCTTGTGAGAAACTACACAAGACACATAAAAACACACACAAAAAAAGTAAAGATGGAAAGAATTTCAAGGAAATGGAAAGATATAGTAAAAGGAAATGTACATAAAGCATACAAAAATCTCCCTAACGGTGAATAGTCAACAACATCATACACAATTTACAGGTTATGTGGAAAAGACTACAAATTAACAGCAAAGAGAATAAATGGAGTTGTCACTTAACCGAGTACTTAACAGATGGGCACATTTATCTGGACACACGCACCAAAAGGCAAATAGCCTGGCTTTTCCGTGACTCTAACTTACTCGAGTTTAGGTCTCTTCCCTCCTGGCATAAATGGGTCGGTCATCATGATGACAGTTAACTAATGTCTCTTTCTGTAATAGAAATACTACTTGTTCTTCGGCTAGAATGAGTGTCCTTCTTTTTGGATTTCAATCAGTATACGGATATAAATTTACGGATTAGTATACTATGACCACACCCTCAAACATAATTCCAATAAATAACTAATGAATATTAAATTTTAATAATTAAAAAATAATGCATTATTAACTAATGTTTGGTTCTTCTCTTTTTCTTTGATGAATGTTCCATTGAAGGAGGTCCTTCTAATGAATCCTTTTTCTTTCTTTTCTTTTTCTTTGGCGATAGTATACTATTACACACCTTGTGACAAGTTTGGGAATCTTGATCATCACTACCAGGTATTTCTTCCATTGTACTAAATCTACTTGTTTCAATATCTTCTTCTGCTTCAGTCGCTAGCTCAGAATGCTTCCTCTTTCTCTTTTTCTTCTTCTCTTTTGACAAAACCTCCTTCTCATCATCGTTAGCCTTTGATCCTCTACCTTCTTCACCTACAATTTCAAATAAAATTCTATTTAAAAGTAATTACAAGCTTACTATTCGATTGCCGCATTGCATTAGTCAATAATAGCCTTCCAAATAGCACATACTCATCGTTTTCAATAGAAACCCTTGTAATATTCACTAATACAGGGTCCCCCTCACTGAGCATCACAGACCCCTCCATCTCGGTATAGGGTATCACTATATTCATGCATTTTGCCCAGGTACAAGTGACAAAATCTTCACCGACTCTATTAACAGTTGCTAGTATTGTGGAGTGTAATGGAGTCTGAAGTACAGTTGCATTGTATTGTATATCAACGTGTATCTGAGGAAGGTCGGCCATTAATAGTCCATAGTGTTTGAGGAGTGCTGGCCTGGAGTATGATACCAGTATTCCTCCTAATTTTGAGGAATAGTTTAAAAGTCTTTTGTTCAAGTGTTGGTATATGGCATTCCCAATATCTCCCATGTAAGATGGCATCAAGGAGACGTGCTCTCTCACAGATACTGATACAAATGGCAGACAATCCGGCTCTTCTTCATAAATCTCTTCCATTCTTCAGGATTCCAGTACTTCATTCATTAACCATCCAGCCACACCTTTATGTGATCATTCAACAGGCCGGCCACGTGCTGTCACGTGTGCTATCATCACCTCTCACGTGAGCCTTCTTCCCTTGCGCATGTTCTATTGGGATAAAGATGGTGAGTGAGTTCTTTTCTTGTTGAATCTTATAGTGCATTTTAAAATTTTCTTCTTTATTCTCTCTGTTTGTCTCTATTTCTGTCATATTTAGCCATCAAGGTTTAAAAAGACTAGAAAACTAAGGGGCCACGTCAGTCATGGCCATGGTCGTGTAGGTAAGGATGAGGGAGGGAGAGAATAACACAGGGAGAGGCTGGTATTAAACGAATTATATATATTTGCAGGTAAACATAGAAAGCATCCAGGTGGACGTGGTAATGCTGGAGGACTCCTTCACCACAGAATAAACTTTGACAAATAGTAAGAAATTCCAAGATAATTTTTTTGCCATACATGTAGTAATTTATTTGTTTTAAATGAGGCTTGAATGAATTTTGTGTTGGCAATTTTTGCCGTGTGCTCAGATTGATGGAAATTGTGGATTTTATATTGACAATTTGTTCCCAAAGACAACAATTTCACAAACAATAATGGTGTCATTATTATTAATTCTCTCTCTTTTAGTCATCCTGGTTATTTTGGCAAAGTTGGTATGAGATACTTTCATCTCACCAAGAACCAGTACTACTGTCCCGTCATTAATGTGGAGCAACTATGGAGTCTTGTCCCTCCAAAGGTAGCCAATGAAGCCGAAAAGAAGAAAGAAGAGGGAAAGTATCCAGTACTTGACTTAGTTCAACGTGTAAGTAGCACACCTTTATATTGTATTGGGGCTACAGCAGTCTGTCCTGATTATGGAAATGCCCTTATTTTAGAGTGTCCTCAATAGCAGGTTTCACTGTAAATTTTAGGCGAGGAGATTGCAGGTCGCATTATACTAGTTGATGTTTAATGTGTTTTGAATGTCTCCAATAGCAATCCATAGTTCATAACAGACAGGTTGCTGGGATAGCCCCTTCTCGGTAATCTCACTTACTTGTGATTACATTATGTCTTCTTTCAGGGTTATTTCAAGGTACTTGGTAAAGGGTCGTTCCCGAAGCGTCCATTGATCGTGAAGGCAAGGTTTTTCAGCAAGTTGGCAGAGAGAAAGATCAAAGCTGCTGGTGGAGCATGCGTATTAACTGCTTGACATTGTTGCCATTGTTATTATTATTAATACAATTTATTCTGATTGAAAGTACTATGAAAATACTAAAGTGAATGAATGGGTGTGTGAGATGTTGGTCTATAGGTGTGGTTTGGTTTGAAAACTTATGAAAAATGGGAGAAGAGAAGAGTGAAGTAGATAGACATGGTTTCATGCTTGATGACGAATGTTGCAATGGAAGCTGGTAACAGTTTCATGTTAATAATGTGTAGTGTTACTTTTATGATTAGTTTTATTTTGTCTGAAGATGCAAGCAGCAACATAGACCCATCAGATCCAGCTAAGGTAGTGTTAAAACTGAAGTACTGTCTGTATCTCATTAGAATTTTAATGATTTAATGTAGTTGCGTGGATATATAAAGAGAGGTCTCACTGCTAGTGAGAGAGGAATTGTATGGCAGTCTGCTCTAAATGCAAAGGAGACTAAAAATAAGCACAAAGACTTTAACTATAAAGTATAAAAAATTAAGCATTAAAATTGCAATTTTTCTCCTATAACACATTCCACATTTATTGTTACAGGAGTGTATATCTCGTTTGAATGATGAGTTACAAATATCATCTGTAACAGATTACAAGGATATCATTGTTACAATAAGTTAGTTGAATAAGCATGTTCAATTTTTAATGATTTTGTGTTCATTAGATGATAAATTAAAGGACAGCGAGGGAAATGAGGATAATGAATCTCTAAAAACAATAAGACAGATATTAATGGATATAGGTACACAGTATAATGAGTTCATAATATTAATTCTCCACTCTATTCCTCTTTTTTTAGATCGTACTTATCCAAATCACAATTTATTTGATAGTGGATCAGAAAATCAAGCAAAACTATTTCACATTTTATCAGCCTATAGTCAGTTTGATGCAGACATTGGCTACTGTCAAGGTAATGAAAATAACAAAAATAATAATAGTAATAGTAATAATAATTTTAGGTATGGCATATGTTGTCGGTTTGTTATTGATGTATATAAGTGATGAAGAAACTGTCTTTTGGTGTTTCACTTATTTGCTAAGCAGTAAGGATCACCTACACATGGTGTATCACCGTACTTTGAACAAGTAAGTCTGAAAGGATCAATCTTATGCTGTGTATAGAGTTTGAGCTGATATGGACTAAGAAGAATAATTTTTGAAAATATTTTATGCTTTTTTAATACTCTGACACACGTCCATGGTTTTATGTGTGTTTCTGGTATATTTAGAGTTAAACTGATGTCAGAGTTGCTGACGTTTCTAATTGAAAAGAATTATCCACAGCTATCAAGGCACTTGGTGAGAGTCCCAGTATCATAATGTAGTGTTGTAAAGAACTGCTTGTGATTATCACTAATAGAAAGATATGGGTGTGCATGGTCTAATGTACAGTGTCCAATGGTTTATGTGTCTATTCACTAATATCAACTGCTGGGATGCTGTGCTATTAATAGCTGACCTTTTCTTTACTGAAGGTAATAATGTATTTATTTAAAGTCCTCATGAATAATTCATAAGGTATCCACCATCTTTTCAATGCTGGATTGGCTGTGATACAAAACTGCGCTGGTAATTAATAATTATTTTATTTCCTCTTGTTAATTTTTTCTTGTAGCCGAGTTGATGGTATTGTCCACCATAGGAGAAGCATTGCCATTCTTACAAAACATACCATACAGATTGTAAGTATATAATTCACTGTGTTCTTCCTTTACTCTATCTCTCTCTCTCTTTCAGAGTGCATAGAGGACAGTTAAAATCACTCCTTTTCTCTCATCCAGTACTGATCAATGCTAAAGCATTAGATAAGTATTGGGAGATTGCTGAGAAGAGGTTGAGCGAAGAAGAGAAAGGAGCTAGAGAGAAACACAAAAGAAGACAGAAAAGACTTCGTTCACCAGATGACAACGATAAGCAAGGTAGATAATAATGCTAATGAATATTATCAATTATGTACATATTAATTATGTACACTATCTATCATTGTAGATATTGCAAATGGCCCAACATTCTTTTCAAGATTAGCTAACTTCTTCACTCCAGCTAAAAAACAAAAAACAGATGAGTCGGAGCACAGAGGAATGCCAGATACAGAAAACCAGACCCCTCCTGTCCTGCCCCTTCCATTATCCTCATTCAAGAAGTCAATAAAGAGTGGTTACTACACACCAGACACTGGGCTAGTCTATACATCACCTAATACCATTGAAATGAAAAGGATTACTGATTCCACCAGTCGCGGTATGTTAACGTCTGGATACTCGGAGGCTAAGAAACTCTTCAGTGACTCACCCAGTATCCAGTCGCCGTTATTAAATAACGTATTGGCTAGTGGTGGCGAGAGGAGGAGCCCGCGGATTGCTAGGCGGAGAAGAAGAGAACAACAGAATCTACTACAGTCACCGTTATAACAGAGTTACTTATTTTTAATTTTATTAGCAGTATAAAACAATTTTTGTAGTACGTGTGTGTGCATATGTGAAACAAATTATTTTTAAATAATTATTGTTAGTGTTTATTCTAATTAAAGAGCAGCCTCAGGATTCCATTGGTTCGGATTTGACGTGATTATTGAGCTCACCATTATCCATCTCACTTCCCTTCTCAACCTCTTTCAGTTCTCCATCTTCAGCTTTCATCTCCTTCTCAGTTTTGTCCTTATCTTTATCTTTCTTTTCCTTGTCATGCTTCCTACTATGCCGTCTCTCTCGATCCTAAAACCACACCCATTTTAATAACTAACCACACCCAGCACAATATAAGGCACTATACCTTGTCTTTGTCTCTCTTTCTGTCTTTATCTTTTCTGTCTTTATCACGGCTTCTGCTTCTGTCCTTCCTATCTCTGTCTCTCTCCCTATCAATTATCATCAAACATTTCATAAAATACTTTTAATCATAACACCTACCTGCTCCTGCTTCTATCCTTTCTATCTCTATCTCTCTCCCTAAGTAAAAAGGTGCATCAATGATAAATAATGCACATGTGCATTTAGACAGTAACCATTGCTAACCACAGCTGGCATACACATTAACATTACTATATAAATGCTTTTTTTTACAGAACCTACCTCCCTTAAAACTACTAACAAAATCATTTCAATATTGCAGTACCTGCTTCTGCTCCTTCTTTTCCTCTCCCTGTCTCTGTCCCTCTCTCTACTTCGGCTTCTCCTGCTGTTCCTCCTCTCTCTGTCTCTATCCCTGTCCCTGTCCCTATCTCTGTCTCTGTGTCCTCCTCTCCTTTCCTCATGGTAACGTTCTCTTTCCCTATCTCTCTCTCTGTCCCTATCTCTGTCCTTATCACCGTCTCTATCCTTTTCATTTTCCCTAATAGATAAATTAATAATAAGTACAAGTAATATTATCAAAATAATTACTAAATTATATTATTATACTACCTTTCATCAACTCTTCCTGAATATTTAATACATTCATGAGGAGCTCCTTTCCTAGTGCCACCCAAACCCCCACCTACAACAAAGACAAGATCACTTCTCAGTTTTATTTCCAGTTTCCCCTTTACTTCTCTCCCTCCCTCCTCTCTCTCTCTCTCTCTTTTATTTCCTCCATCTTACCTAGTCTTCTTGGTTTCCAGCTCTTCACAGTCCTACCTCTCTCCACATCAACAACCACTCGCTTACCGTCAATCTTCTTCCCATCGGCATATTTATAAGCAGCTAGTGTGTACATAGTGGAGTGCAAGAACTTACGTCAAAACTGACCAATGAGATTCAATACTTACCCACTACTTACCATACAACTAACAGGCTAGTGGGCGGGGTCAGGCTTATAGAAACTCACCAAGTTTTTAATAAAATTTTATTATCATTATTAATTAGTTAATTAATTATTATAAGTTACAACCCACCTATATCATCAACTTACACAATAGTTTAATAACACAAAAGCTGCTCCTCATGGAGAGCTGAGATAATGAAAAACATTAATCAATAAATCTGATACAATATCCACATACTGTATAGCAGGAAATTTTTGGAGGGAGTTAAATTTGGCAAATTGCTAAATTTTGATGATTGGCAAATTGCTAAATTTTGATGATTGGTAAATTTTAATTTTGCAAATTTGTGGCCATATGCCGTTGAGCATGCGCATAATGGCTCAAAATAGCGGATTTTTATTTTAGTGAATGGCTATCAATGCCGAATTCGCCAAATTTAGCTACCTCCAAAATTTTCTTCTATACAGTAAAAGCTACCCACTAATAAATTATGCTCAATAATACTACATTAACAATACACATACATACAAGTACATGTTGCATATGCCATTAAACTATACTATTAAAGCACTAACTGTTAATGTGCAAGTATGTACACGTAAACTATAATCCACTCTATTACTGTGTGATCACCAGGACTCATGTGTAATGGACTTACAGTGCATGTCACGTTCATTCTCATATTCAACAAAAGCATATCCTCTTGGTTTACCACTTTTAGGATCAGACACTATATTGATCTAGTCAAGGAAGGAACATCATGTAAAAATGAGCTTATTACAATCAAGTTTGGATTTTTTTTACAAATTTGTAAAAAAATCCAAACTTGATTGGAATGAGATCAAACTTTCTACGCAACATAAGTACATGCATATGTATCAGAAAAAATTATAAAAATGAAGAATTCTCTCCTAGTCATTTTCAGTGAAATTTGGCTGATGACCCTGTACTATAGTACAGGGACATTGGCCAGGTTTTGGAGCAACTTTAAAAATTTTTAAAGTTGCTTAAAAATCAAACCAAAGACTCATGTGACTTTAAATCCATTACGCACATGCATGCACATATAAGAATAATGAATGATTTTTTCTCTTACTCTTTTAACTGGCCCATATGATTCAAACTCTCTGCGCAGCTTTCCCTCAGATGTATCAAAGTTCTAAAATAAACAAATAATTAAAAATAAAATAAATAAGATGGTAAAATACAACAGACTCACTATTCTTCCCACAAATAACGTCTTGAAAGGGTCGCCACTTATTTTGCTATCATTACTAGGGTCCCCTATTAATAATAATAATAATTGACAACAATAATTTTTATTTATATACGCACAGGTTTCAATTTCAGATTCTAATTTCAAACGGTATCTTTCATCTCTCTCCTTCCTCTACAAAAAAAATTGAAACATAACATTAAAATAGGTTCATTACTTTTCTAGCACGTCTTTCATCTCTCGTCTCTCCTCGGGTAGGCTCGGGAGTGTCTTGGGGATCCTAGATAGACAGATCACGTGATCAAACACATGTCGTACACTCTTGCCTCAAAATCTCCCAGGCATTGAGAAACCCCATCATAAGGCCATGGCTTCTTCTCCCACGGTCTCTGATCTGTTGGTGGCAGGTAGAGTAAAGGCTCTCTCGGAGCAAATAAAGCTAAAAGGTTAGGAGGAAGAAAGGCAGTCATTTTGTAACCAGGCTCCTCCTACACAATAATTAATGACGTATGTGCACCACTGCGCATGCGCAGTAGGCAAATCTGGCAAACAATTTTTATCATTTCTAACTAATAATTATTAAAATTGGCGGAGTTTCTTTATCTTTAAGTAACAAAAAGGGAAAATAATTATTATAATACAGTCAATAATTAAAGGAGTCATTCACCACACAGCAGCTTCTAAACTAATTAATTAGAGAATTTATTTACTAAAAAAAGAAAAGAGGAAAAACATCACATTGTTAATCGTCATCAAGAGAAAACAAACTCACACTTTTAGTAGTAGGAGGTTGCATAGCACCACCATTGGTCTGAGTCCCACCAGCCTAATAATCAAACAAAAAGAAACCATAATGAAATTGCTTTTACGACAAGCAAAACATTCATAGTATATTCAATATACAAGAATGATTATTCCAGAGCTCACCTGTTGATAATAGGCCCCATAAGCAGCTGCCTGGTAAGCAGCATAATAATTCATGGCTGCAGCGTATTGTGTTGGATCATACGCAGCTGCAGTATAATAAGGATAACTAGCATAAGCAGCAGCTGCAGCATAGGCCCCACTCTGGTCCCCAGCAGCATACCCTTGCTGGTAGGTACTGGCTGGGTATGAAGTAGAGGGTGCAGAAATAGTGTACCCGATCTGACTGGTTGTAGGGACAGGATCTTGTAGAGGTGGGGTAACATCTCTCACTGGTTCCACTGTCTTGATCTCTTCTGCCTTGACTGGCTCGTCTTGCTTTGATTCATTCTCTTGAGCTGTATCTTGCTGAACACTCTCAGCAGGAGGTGTATCAGTAGTAGCTGCTACTGTGTTTTGGGTATCTTGACTCACTTCAACAGCAGCTTCAGACACCGGTTTTTCAGTAGCTGCAGCTTCAATCACTGCCTCCTCTTCTTTCTTGGTATTGTTACCTTCAGTTGCAGACCCTCCATTACTTGACGTCACAACTGGTTCTGTGGTTACCGTGGAAACCGACTCCGCAGTCGCCATGGCAACAGGCTCCACAGTAGGTTGCTCGACAGTAGTAGGAGTGGTGCTGTATGTTGCTGTGTAATTATCATAAGCCACGCCCCCAACACTAGTGTACCCGTAAGGATTAGCATAAGAGGCAGCTACCTGCCCGTAAGTAGTAACCTGTCCATATTGCTGTGGGTCCATGGTGTACACTAGTGGGTATCCAGTGGCTGACGCTATATTGTGTATCATCTCAACTTGTGTCTGTGAGAGGGTGCTCTCGTTTTTATCTTCGTCTCCGGCCTTTTTCGGTTTAAATTTTGCCGGTACAAAGCTCTTCTCTAGAGGAGGAGGCACGCCAGTGGCCCCTTCCTGTGAGAGCTTGTTGATGGGAGGAAATACAACAGGAGGTGTAGTCTCTTTTCTCTCTTTCTCTCCCTCGGAGGAGCTGCTTTGATGTCTCCTCTTGCCTCTCTCGTCATCCGAAGACGACTCGCTGTTCCCACGACGATGACGTCTCTTCCTTCCTTTATCTTCGTCTGAAGACGAGTCGCCATGACGATGACGTCGCCTGTGATCTTTCTTCTTTCGACTCCGCCCTTTTGAGCGAGAGCGGTGACTGCGTCCATGCCTCCGGCTCCCCCCGTCAGAGTCATCACTGTACCTACGTGAGCGTCTAGAGCGATAGGAAGAAGAGGTGTGTCTCTCACGTGATCTGCGTCTGGTTCGAGAATGACGCTCGTCAGAATAATCAGAATCGCTGTGATACTGATGCGATCTTCGTTTTGAGCTTGATTCTGATTTGACACGCTTGTGTCTTGAATCCCTGCTGTCCTGTGGTGGAGATATCGAGCGCTTCTCTTTAGAGGTTTCAGTAGTAGTTACTGGTCCAGGTGCTTCTTCAGGCTCTTTTTCTTTACTGGGCGACCGATCCTGTCTTGTCACTTCCTTCTCCTCTCTCTCTTCCTCTCCCTCCTCTTCCTGATATAAAGAGCTTGTTACCGGCGGTGGTTTCCAGTCTATAGCTGCTACTTGTTCTCCCTCTTCTCCTCCATCTGTCTTGTCCCCAGTGTTATTCTTCATCTTTTCCAAAAGACGTGCTCTCAGCAGTGCTTCTTGATTAGCCGCTTCTAATTCTGTGAGGACCATCTGATCAACAGTGGGCGGAGTCTCCTCTTCGTCTTCTTGATTATACGGGGGCGGTAGGTCATCACCATATAAGGAAACTGAAGGCTGCGTCACGACTTCTTTTGAAGAGCTCTCTTCTTGTATGTCGTTGCCATTATTATTATTATTGCCGGTCGTTGCTTCAACGTCTTCTAATTGAGGCAATTCCTCATCAGATACACTCTCTATCTCCATGTCCAGCTGCTGTTCTTCAGCCTCCTTTACCTAGCAAAATCATACATGCATGATCAAATCTGTGCAATCTTTAAACAATAATTACCATGTCATTATTCTGTAACTGTGGTTGCAAGTCAGGCGTTGGATTTGTTTCTTCTTCTTCTTCATCTTCTTCTTCTTCTTCTTGTTCAGCTCTTTCCATTTCTTCGTCTTTCTCTACATTAATTCATTACTAATTATTCATAAAAATATTAATTCCAATTTACTGTCTTCGGAATCATCACAGTCTGAGCTGGTGGGGAATTCCCACGAAACGGCTTCCGTTCTCTTGTGCTTGTAAAAAAATCTGCAAGTGCCTCTAGAAGAGAGAAAGGAATAAAAGGAAGAGATAGCATTAGGATATTCTCAATGACAAAAACAGATACAAACCAGCATATGGAGTTTAGTTCCACTATTAATACAGTAAAGACGATAGTTAGTGTAGCCACATTTTGAAAGTCTAAAGGATATATTTCTGCATATAATACCCTCAAACTGAACTTACTTTATCATCGGTAACATATCTTTATAATTCATCAATAGCAATAATTATAATAATGGAACCTTACTTATGTTTATCACTTATTAAAAGTTCTTATTACAAAATAGCATTACATGGAATATAGAGGGAGGAAGAAAGATGGTGGGTTAATGCTCGGACCATTATACAGAGTAGCAACATACCCCTGCATGGTGTTTTATATATAAAGTAAACCATCACACACAACAGCTAGCTGTTAATGATTAGTGATGATGGCACACTGTTCTAGTAGTGAGGAGAGGTATACAGTGTGTTTTATTAGTTTACCTGTCCCAGAGACAATTCCAATCGGACGAAACCCCCTTCTGGACTATATCAAGTATCTTGCCATCAATCTCTTTCAATTTATCTAAAACATACTGGGAGGAGAGTGCTCCTTCTTTCCAATCTTCTAAACGAGTCTGAAAATAATAACAAAAAATCTTTAAAATCCTTATTATTATAAATGAGGCGTGGTTAGTTAGTTATTAAGAAAGTCCTCCCACTCTTCTCTCTCTCTTAATTACTTTTAATTTAATATCAAGCAACTGAAGCTCGGATAACTTGCTGGTATCAACGTGAAGATAAGAAAGCTTTCTTGTTATTTCATCAGAAAGGCTTGATACCTAATCAACAAATATTACTGATAATAATAAAAGCAAAATTTATTTACCAGGAGCATTTGTGATTCTAGTTTTCTCTGATTGTCAGATGATTTCGATTTCTTTGTAACCTTTTTTAAAAATTATAATATTTTCTTCCTCTGTCTTCGCTAACCTCTTCCTTCTTGCTAGTCTTTCCTCCTTTACTTTGAACAGAATGAAACTCACCTTCTCTCCCTCCTCCATTACTCACTCCAGCAACTGAAGCTACTTTACTTGTATCATCTTCTCTCTCTGGATCTTGAATCTCATTGGATCTCTCTGCAGCTTCGCTGGTAAGGACTCCGTTACTTGGCAGCGTCCATGACACAGCATTAGTGGATGGGTTCCAGTAATAGGCATGGTTTGTCTTTGGGTCTTTCACCTCCTGCCAAAAGGTGATTGGAGCATCAGTAGACGCCATGATTTGAGGGTTATCCTCTTCTGTATTGAAACTATCAGTGGCAGTGACAGGTGGGATAGTAGAGACTAGTGAGGGATGCTTTGAATCTCCTGCTAAATAATCAATAACGTGTAGAGCAACTGTGACGTGATCCTCTGGATTATCTAATTGACCTTGTTCCTTCAAAAACAAAGAATATAATTTGAAATGGAGGGAAAAATTTAAAAAGAAACCATGGCATCACTCAACATTAATCATCACTTACTTTGTAGAATTTCGTGATATTTGCTTCCATAAGAGGGATACAACTATCCTGAGGTCTAGTGCTGAAGACTACACCTGCAAATTAATTAAAAATTACATAAAATTAATGAATAATTACACAAAATTAATTAAAAATTACACAAAACTAATTTATAATTACAAGTCACACCCAACGATCTTTAACTATTTAAAATTGTAAATTTGTAACACACGGTTGTTACCTGTCTTTGGATCAAAGTAGTCTCCGCCTCCTACTGGATGACCGTCTTCTTTTGTTGCACCTTAAAAACAAAGTTAATACATACTGGTTTATTCTAATTAGTGCCCACTTTTTGATTTCTTTTCTTTCTTCTTTGGTTGACTGCCTAGAAATGATCAGTAAATCATTAGTTGATAGTGTTCTTTACTTTTCTTGACTTTCTCTTCTCCAACTGCAACCTTTTGCTTCCTGTTTGTGAAGATCTTACCTCTTGCCATGTCCCACCATCAACATGGCTGACTTTTACTGCGCATGCGTGATCAAGTTTTCAAAAGGGACAGTGGCAAGTTTTTTTGCGCATGCGCATTCAATAGACTTCCACGTGTTTTCCGTATACTTGACTATATTGTTAGTTTACGAAAGCATAGCAAATTCAGAAAATGTACGGAGTTTTACAAAACTGGTTAATTAACTATACATGGTCACGCCCATATTTTTATTCCCCGCGCCCGACTTTGTCAGCCAATTTGCTGTTGGTTGTTGTAGCTGAGACTATCTTTTTATCTTCTTTTTTAATGTAGTTATGTCTGCAAGTGATGCGCTAACAGTCTGTAATGTATTCTGGGGGAACAGATTAGCCTCTCAGCCTCACTTACCTCACCATGCAAAGCTTAACTTCACCGCCTTCTGGCCTGACAAGAGAACATTCATCGAGCTCTATCGATTGACTACAGACTCTGAGCGGCTCCTTGATGATCTCGTGAAGCTTTTACTGGCTAGTCACACGATAGAACCACTCCAGGCGCTTTTATCTGAAGGATTACTAAAATGGGATCAAAAGTATGCAGGAATCCATGTAATTGAAATGTATTGTCATTCTTTCTATATTAGGTTTCCTGGCAACATGTCATTTGCTCATTTGGTATGTGCACTTAATCCAGTTGCTCTCCTACAATTGTTAGTTAATTATACACCAGAGGCTAATGGAACTTGGACCACTAAAGACAATAAAGGTACTATGATCTCATTATTTGTGGGCTTGTTCTAATTAAATTGTGGGTGTGTTTAGGTCGTGACCCATTGAGCGTCTGTTTTGATTCTGATTGTCGTAAATTTGTAGCTAAAAATGTGAAGGGACTAAATAATAAAAAGAACAAAAATCAAGTAGATCTCCTATCGTTGTCAATAATAATAATACTTCTTAATTATTTCTTATTGCAGAATTCACCTTTATCATTGACAGAAGAAGTAAAGAATACATTGTTATCATTAGCAAGTGCCCCTGAAGGATTATATGATTTAGCTATTTTAATACAAGTTAGTATTTTCTTAAAATGCTGCATTTTATTATTTCTTTTTTATGTTAGATGTATGCTGTTAATGTTAACGAAGTGAAAGATGACGAAGGAAATTCATTGCTTCACTTGGCAGCCCAAGGAGGTTTGTTTTTATTCACTAATAATAATAATAATAATATTGATTTTTATGCCAATATACATCATCTATTTCTTCTGTAATCAGGGCTACCTTGCCTCCCTCAATTGTTTTATCTGATCCAATTCTGTTGTGGGGATATCAGTAATGTGATCAATGAACTGAAAATGACACCTGCCTGCTTATCAGCTAAACTGGGCGATGAGAAGATAACAGACTTATTGATTTGTGTTTTTGGTGTCAGCGTACACAGCACTGACCTATTGTTGGGGTGGTCTTTATTGCATTATGCAGCTAGATACGGACACTCAGAATTAATAAGGTACAAACAAATAATCTTAATAATTTTCTACACCTCAATTTTATTACAAATATTATATTATTATCATATTGATGCTTTTATGTGAGCTCATTCAGATTGTAACATTTTTGAGCTACATACTGTACATGTATATGAACATGTACATGTATATGAGCATGCAAGTTTATTGCTAATTGAAAAGTGCTACATGTACTGTAGTTTACAGCAACAATCTCTATCCTAAAACAAACACTTGACATGTTGATTCAATCTATTCTGTGTACCATATTAGTGCATGTATAAGTACACATGCATATAATTATATTGCCCTCTCTTATTTGCAGCCCTGACTAATAATATTAATTATTATTCTTAATAGGATTTTACTGGACAGAGGTGCTGATCCTAATCAAGAAGACATCAGTAAATGCATACCTAGTTTCTTGGCTCAGAGACACGGCCACAATGACTGCTATCGTATTCTAATGCAGCACGTTAGGGACAGAATTGAAGACTTAGCACGAAAAGCCACTGAAGTATAACACTTATTAGTAGTAGCAGAGTAGCTTCATGTAGTCTTGCTGTTTTTAGGGCACATTGGTAATAAACGAATTGAGTCCGTCTGATATTTGTGCTGTTACTGCTGACGGATTTACATTATTAATGAAAGCAGTGATTGGTAATAGAACTGCAACAGCGCGTGAGCTTTTAAAGTTTGAATGCTGTCCTAAAGACTTTAGACAAATGAAAGTAGGTAGTGTATAGTAGCAGAGTATAGTAATAGAGTATAGTAATGGAGGAGAGTTAATTCATGTATGATACTGTGTGTGTACATCAATGTAGTTACCAGATACCTCATCATTGGAGGATAGTACTGGTTTACCAACTGTACCACACCATATTGAACAATCTTTAAAAACAGCTGTAACCCTTGCAGCTGAAAACGGATTTACAGAATGTCTACATGTATTACTCAAGTCAGTAGTACTTGAGACTGTATCTATTATTGCTTTTATATAATTTTGCATGTACATGTAGTGGTGGGGCCCATCCTGCTATAGCAGACAGTCAGAATTGGCTACCAATTCATTATGCAAGCTCAGGTGGTCATAAAGAAAGTGTTAAAGCAATTGTGTCGCATCCTAAAGGACTGACAGGCTTAAAACTGGCCATCAGTTTGGCTGAATATAATGGACGCTCAGATATTGTTAGCATTCTTAACACTGCCTTGGAAAAGTAAGTATATTGACTGATTATTATTATTATTATTATTATTATCATTGTATTCAGGCGTCAGAGAGATATAGTTACGCCTACATTGTTTGAAATTGCTGTTGATGGCGACAAAGATCTCTTGTATCAGCTACTTGAAAATGGCGATGATGTCAATCCTACAGTAAGAAGGAGAGAGAGAGAGAGAACGGGGAGAGAGAGAGAGAGAGAGAGAGAGCAAAAGGCTTGATGTTTTAAGTTATGAAATGGACATTTGATTAGGAATTTTCATTCCTTTCAAAAATTTTGTTGTGCTATCATAATGGTGTACACTCTTTTAACGTTGAACTGTGAAGCCTGTTCTCAGCTTTTATACTGCTATGATGTAAAAAGTCTATCGTGGGTCGTACTGTATGCAACTCCTTAATGATAATCATAGCTTCTTTGTATACACAAGAGCTGTGAACAGCTGTGTGTGGTGTTAATAATAATATCTAATTAAATGAGTGGGTGCCATATTCACATGTCTTCACATTCTATAGAATGAATTATCAGAATGGCCACTGTATAAAGCAGCCTCATTTGGACACATTGAGGTCATTAAGATGCTTTTTGAGGTACTACAAAACATACAATCATTACAATATTTTAATATAATTATTTATAGCATGGAGGTATAGTTGTACGCCACAATAGCCTTAATCTGAACAGTCCGCTCCACCCAGCTGCTTTAGGGGGACACTATGAAGTACTAGTGTAAGACATTTATTAAGCACAAGTGTACTTATGTACTTATTGATTTATTTATCTGCAATAGGTTTCTATTAGAACATTGTTCCAAAGATGCCTCCTCATCAAGTGCCGAGTATTTGGATATAAATGAAAAGAATGGAGCTGGGTCCTCTCCACTAGAACTAGCAATGTCACACGGGCATAGCAAAGTGGTCCAGTAAGAAAAATACTCTCACATTTAATAGCAAGAGTTATTTTTATAATGTAGGTTGCTGTTGGATAATGGAGCCATTACAACATTGCCTGACTCCACTGGACGGCTATTAACTTGCAATGCATTTGGCGGAATACAGTTTCTATTAGAGAGTCATCGGAAGCAGTTAATGGACAGGTAATATTGTGTAGCATGAAATTACCTAGTGTACTGTTTATATATGTATTCTATTTGTATTATATTATAATTATATTATATGTATATCAGGGTTTCCCACAAAGCATGCTGAGTGAGCTAAAAAGCATGCTTCATGAACAGACAAGCCTTATATGAGCATGTGGCTTTTGGAACAACTTTTAAAATTCATTAAAAAATCCAATTTTTAGCTGAATCAGCTCAAACTTTCCATGCAGCATAAGTACATGTATATGCACTAGAAAAATTATAAAAATAAAGACTTTTCTCTTGGTTGTTTTTGGCAAAATTTGGCCAATTAGGGTCTTTGACCAGATTTTGAGCCACTTTAAAAATTTACCAAAGGCCTAGCGCTAAGACAAAATCCTGTGGGAAAACATGATGTTTATACATGTATGTATGTATGTACATGTATGTATGTATGTATGTATGTACATGTACATGTGTACTCTTGCACATAGGGTAGTGAAGGCTTTAAAAGAGCAAAAGTCATTGAAAGACTTTAAATTATTATGGAAGGTAAAATAATGTTTAATAAATAATAACCAATAATGTACTATTTATTAGTATCCAAGTGATTTCAATATCCGAGACCATCACGGGGACACTGTTCTTATGGTTGGGGCCAGATATGCTAAACCTGACGTGGTCGAGTTCCTATTGCAATCTGCTTCTCAATATAACAATGACATGAAAGTAGTAGTATCAGCACCCACACCAAGGTAGTTTTAATTAACAGTATTTTCATTCATTCATTTATGAATACTTTGATTTTAGATTAAAGGGTCGTTCTAATCACTCTCGTGAATTCAATTCGTCAATCGAAGACAGCGTTCATTCCGACAATCCTTACGGCTACATGAGGAGGCGTGAGTCTATAGATCAACTGCCACGCCCACAAACATCACGAAAACAATCAAACAGGAGAAGGTTATTTATTTATTTGTTTGTTTATTTATTTATTTATTTATATGTTGTTAGTGTTCGTAGCTCAAGGCAGTTTTTAAATAGTCATGAGACCAATGGTTATTATGGTGGAGGAGGTCCTGTGAGTACTACAGAGGAAGAGACCAGTAGCGATGAGTCTTTCAATGAAGGACAGTACATCAGGCTGAATAAACCAATCAGCTCTCATGCCTATGCATCATGCCCCAAAGGGAATGATGGCATGCCCACTGGACACTGTACACCTTCAGGTAATTTTATTATGATTATTATTTAATTTGGGTATTAGTAAAAGTAGAAATGAAACAAAACCAGAAACAGAAAGAAACAATCTCCCAATGTAATTTTAATTTTTGTTAGAAGTCTCCTAGTCATGCCAGGAGTTCCTTACTTATGTAAGGAGTCCCCTAGTTAGCTTAGGAGTCCCCAAGGTTGGGTTTAGGGTCAGGGTTGCCAGCTCATGAACAAAGTTCATAGATTTATGAACTTTTCAACCTTGGCATGAACTTTTCATGAACTACTTTTTTTCATGAACTTTCATGAACTTTTGAGAATTTTCCTAAACTTTGCAAATTTAATGCTTGACTAGCTTTAATGCCATTATCTTTGCAATATACAGTGTTTTGCTCTCAAAATGAGCCATCAGTATTCATTTCAGCAAGATTTCAGTGATAAGCTGAAAGTTATAAAATTAATTATTACAGTTATTAAGTAGTTATAAAAGTTAATTTTAGTGGTTATTAAAGTTAAGTAAGTAGTTATCTGTAGTTATTAACCAGTGATTGCAAAATTTTGAAAAACATGAACTTTTTTGTGAAAATATGAACTTTTTGACAAAATTTTGTGAACAATTGGCCAAACCCATCTGGCAACACTGTTTAGGGTTTAGTTTTTTTAAATTTTAGAGCGTCCCTGGTCATGTTAGGAGTCCCCTAGTTATGTTACAAGTCCTCTAATTATGTTAGGGGTCCTCTAGTTTTTGTTTATGTTCTGGTTTCTTTCCGTTTCTGGTTTCGTTTCGTTTCTACTATGCTTTTTTTCAAAAAATGGCTCCAAAATTACCCCCAATTTCTATTATGTACTTATGCTGCATAGAAAATTTATTTTGATACAAATATTTGTTATTTTATCAGGACTAGTTTGTTTGACTAGTACCAGAGATGGTATGACAGCACTGCATAGAGCAGTCGAGGGGAATCAGCATAAAATAATCCCACTCCTTCTTGCTGCTGATCCTAAAGTAGCCAATATTCAAGATAGGAATGGACGCTCTCCTCTTCATCTCGCTTGTGATCTTAATTATAAAAACTGTGTCATTTCTTTATTTGTAAGTCATTAGTATTATTTTAGGCAGTCTTTGCTGGAGTAAGATAAAATTCCCTTTATCATTCATAGAATTATCGTGGCATCATTATCAACACTACACTTCGTGATGTTTCAAACAAATTAGCAGAAGAGCTTGCCCTTAACACAAGACTAAGAAACAGAGTAATAACAATGGATACCATGTGACTGTCACAATGATGATCTTATCACTATTGTTATTATTAGGTTAAGAAATACAGAGAAAAGCAGTTAAAAGACGCCCATCCAGCCAGACGACCGTTACCACCAGAACCAAAAGCGTCTCCTAGCATCAGACAAAAGCCGAGAAAAATTCCACATGCAAGTACACCTAACAGCAATGGACACACCCCCAGACACACCCCTGGATACACTCCTGGACACACCCCTGGATACACCCCCGGACACACCCCTGGATACACACCCTCTCGATATCAGTCACCTATTCATCCAGCTGTGAGAGATGACCCCAGGGGATCAAGACGCCATCTTGATTTTGTACCAGAGGACAGGCCACCTCACCTCCCCCACCCTTCCCTTGGACTCACAATGGAGCAAGACATGAGGAGACAAGGCCCAGAGTATGAACCAGCTGGCAGTGTTTTAAACGTTGGTGGACCTGGGAGCGTTTATGGAGACGGAAGTGCCTATGGACGAGGTCCAGGGAGTGTCTATCGAAATGGGCCTGGTAGTGTTTATGAACGAGGCCAAGGAAATATTTATGAACGAGGTCCAGGGAGTGTCTATGAACGAGGTCCAGGAAGCGTCTATGGAAATGGGCCCGGAAATGTTTATGAACGAGGACCTGGTAGTGCTTATGAACGAGGCCCTGGTAGTGTATATGAACAGAGCCCTGGTAGCGTCTATGGACGTGGCCCAGAAAGTGTCTATGGACGAGGTCCTGGGAGTGTTCGCAGTGGTGATGGCTATAGATCTGCTGATCCAAATAACTATAGGCCTCATGTGCCAAGAGGAAGACATGGTAAGCAAAAGAGATAGAGTATGTTTATAATTTAATCTCTCTCCCCTTCTCTCTCTCTCTCTCTCTCTCTCTCTCTCTCTCTCTCTCTCTCTCTCTCTCTCTCTCTCTCTCTCTCTCTCTCTCTCTTTCTTTCCCCTTTCCCTCTCAGCTGATGACGATGACCCAGGATACAACAGTGTCTCTCCTCCTAATCATGGTGGATCCCGTCCAGTGTTACCTCTTCCTTTCCCCTCCCATGGTCCCTCTAGTGTAATACCTGAAGTATCAATATCTCCTACCAGTTCGATGGATCGTGTTGCAGTCTTGAGGGACATTGCTCCTTATGATGATGTCCCTGATCACTAGTTTTAAATGATTTTTAACTTTTTGAATTAATGATTTTTACGATTATTTTAATTTTTTTTTTAATTTATAATAATTTATAATTTATTTTTATCATCAGTGTGATCATTAATAATTAAAGTTTTTAATTCTAATTCTCATGAATAATACCAATTAGTTTCATGACGTCATTTATAATTAACTTGCTACATCCGGTTTTATTATCATGAATATTAATTACTCTAATTTCATGACCTCATTATTATAATTAGCTAATTACATCCGGTTTCATCCTCATCGAGTCAACATGGCTAACCAAACTGGTAACTTTGGATATGACAGAGATCTCTCTGGTCTATTTGACGTCATTGTTGGGCTGTGCAAGGACTATATGCTCCAGTATGAAGACAGAGATAGCAAAGTGATAGAATTTCGCAGCCCAAGCGAGATATCCTCACTCGTTGACATGAGCCTACCAGAAGAGCCCGTTGATGAAGACAGGATAGTAGAGCAAGTGAAGAGCGTATTAAAATACTCTGTGCATACAAGTAAGGGATAGCTGCTTAAAAGCATGACACAATAACTATAATAATTAAAATGTGTGGGAAGATTGACCTTTCCATCTCATTCACTGATAATGAATATTATTGATATTACCAATATAATATTGGTATTTACTCTTGGTATTACTATTATTACTCATTACTAATTACTATAATTATTATCACATTGTTTTATTAAAATAGACCATCCGTATTGTAATAATCAGTTGTGGTCCAGTGGAGTGGATCAGGTTGGTCTACTGGGACAGTTCCTGACCTCCACTGTTCATACGTTGATGTATACCTTTGAAATGGCTCCTGTCTTCACTGTAATGGAGGCCACCATATTGCAGAGACTGAGGCAGATGATAGGATGGTCTGGTGGAGAAGGAGATGGAATATTTACTCCTGGTTAGTCTTATTTTAATTTACAAGCTGTGAACAAGGCCTTGAACAAGCCTTAAGTAGGAGTCAAAAAGCAATAATATGCACAAAACTTTAGTGAAGAGAATTAGAGAATATTATTATACATTGTGGGTAGTATAACTGCTTTTTATTGCTCTTCTTCTCATTAGGTGGCTCAATTGCTAATTTGTATGGTTTGATGGCTGCACGATATCATAAATATCCAGAAACCAAAGAAAAGGGGATACAGCATTTACCACGTCTAGTTATATTTGGATCTGAACAAGTATGAACAAGGAGCAATCTTACTGGCAATCTTACTTTATGTTCTCTCTCTCTCTGCTCTCTTTCCCACCCTCTCACACTCTCTCTTGTGTATGTACAGTGTCATTATTCTAATCAAAAGTCAGCCATTATAATGGGGATTGGGACTGAGGCTGTCATTAAAGTTAAATGTGATCCCTTGTAAGTTAATGCATGAAGTTTTTGCACCTTCTGCTAAAGAGAAAGCCAATCGCAAATAAGAGTTTACTCTAACTATTTATTATTATTACTAGTGGTAAAATGGATCCAGTTGACCTTGATAAACAAATTGAAGAAGCTAAAACTAAAGTAACTAGTGCCTATAATTAAATAATGAATACAGTTGCTTTAGGGATATGCTCCATTTGCCGTGGTAGCAACTTCAGGCAGTACAGTAATTGGTGCTTTTGATCCAATCGGTCCAATCGCTGACGTTTGTGATAAGCACAATCTGTGGCTGCATATTGATGTACGTTATTAATAATAGTCAATTTATTATTTGTAATAGTTATGTAATTGTAATAATAGTTAATTAATAGCTAATTAATTGATTATTAATAGGCTGCTTATGGTGGAGGTGTTTTATTTTCTGATAACTACAGACATTTAATGGCCAATGCACACAGGTAATGAAGAAAGGGAGGGAAGTTAATGCTAACTATTATTCTTTAAATTGTAGAAGTGACTCCATTACTTGGGATCTGCATAAAAGTGCTACTGTGCCACAGCAATGCTCCGCCATTTTATTGAAACACAAGGTATTTAATTATTATGGTAAAATATCCAACATTATTATTATTATTTTATTATTATTATTATTATTGTTAGGGTTTATTAGCAATGTGTAATTCGACAAAGGCAAGCTATTTATTTCAAAGAGATAAACAGAATTACGATGTGAGTTTTGATACTGGAGACAAGTCAATACAGTGTGGAAGACTCAATGATGTATTGAAACTATGGATCATGTGGAAAGCTAAAGTACATGCTTCATTACTGTACCATTATTATTTATTTACTTGTTCTTCGTGCAGGGAAAGAATGGATTTGCTAAACAAATGGACAACTCGATTGGGCTTGCCAAGTGTGTAATAATTATAAGCTTAGAGTATGAATATTCTCTTTTTTTGTTTGTAGGTATTTGGCAAAGAGAGTAAAGGAGAGAGACGACTTTGAATTAATATTAGTAAGTGACTAAAGTCCATTTGTGTTCACCTGAGCCCTTGTTTTCTTGCAATAACTTTTGACTTACAAGTTCTATTGTAAAAATAAACATACCAGTGCATTCCTATCCTTTTGCCGCATCTATTGTACTACTTAAGAAGTAGCTGTAGCTCTTTAGCTCCAAGTTGGCTGTATAACCCATGCAGAAAGTACAGCCGGCATACTTTTCACAATATTATTTCATTGTGTTAATTATTGGGTGGGGTTTCTAATCACTTCCTGGGCTCAAGTAAATGCAAATGGACTTTAATAATTGTTGCTAAGAAGAGCTCAACCTCACAATACAATAATTATATATTTATCATCATTATTCATTGTTAGGAGCCTGAGTACACTAATGTTTGTTTTTGGTACATTGCTCCAAGTGTGCGTGGGATCACTGATCAGAACGAAAGGAAACAAAAATTGAACGGGATAGCCCCCAAAATAAAAGCAAGACTAATGGCAGCTGGTACACTAATGCTAGGATACCAACCATTAGGTAAGTATTGTAATTGACCTATGCTATATTATACCTAGTCTGGTAACCAGCCCCTTGCAAAACATGCATAAGGGGCTAGTTTTGCAAGAGGCTGGTTACCAGATTACTATATACTGTATGTCAGGATACATTCACAGCTGCTTATTTTTGCAATTTCTATTGGCTTCGCATGATATTTAATTGGACCTTTTTATTAGTTTTTTTTATTATCACGAAAATAAGCAGCCACAAATATATCCCAACCTACAGTATTACATATACACCCTTTACTCTCTCTCTCTCTCTCTCTCTAGGAGAATATCCTAACTTTTTTAGAATGGTCACAACATGCCCACAAGGCAAAGAAGCAGACATGGACTTTTTACTAAATGAGATCAAAAGACTAGGAAAAGACTTGTAACAATTTTATAGCTGAGTATTTATTTATTTAATTTTTGCTATAATATTGCTATGCTAAGATAATATTATTATTATACTTAAAACATAATAATAATAATAAGTGATAATTGTAGATGTTTCCATGTTTTTGCTGTTACATGCGTATATGCTGTCTTGCTTTATCCAATATGTCGGATTTTACTCGAGGATAATTTGGAAATTTCTTGATCAGTTCATGACAAGTGTCGATGGCATCCAAATAAGACTGTCCCTTCAGGTAATTGAATGCAAGTCTGTATCCTGTTAATAAATAAATATGATGTACACTTTTGCCAAAATAGTATCAGTAATTAGGATTAAGTATCACTTAATACCAGCAATATCAAGACAAAAATAGAATTAAATTAACAACTGAATTGGAAGCAACTTAAAATTTCTACAAATGGGCATCAAAAGGATTTGCATTGTAAAAGCATATAATCATTCAAAAGGAAAAAAAAATCACGTATAATTTATAAATTTTATTGATAATTTACGTACCAACAACTGGGTTGGTCATGTGACTGTGTATCCATGCATTGCTGTAGTGAGCAGCTGCATCTTGATAGGCCTGCTCTTTCTCAGCAATAAACCCTAAATACTCATACGCCTTACTGCAAGACTGTAATAGAAATAAACAGCAAAAAGCATGAAAAAAAGAGGAAAAGAAAAGTAGAAGAAATTATAATAACATTATTAGTACTAATATTAATTAAATTACTTGGTTATATTTTAGGCACTTCTTTAATTGCTCAATGGCAAGATCATATTTACCAGACTATAAATCATATTATATATTAATTATTTTAAAATAATAATATTTATTAGTTTACTTGTATGTATACATCAGATAACAGGATCCATCCTTTCTCTAATTCGTCTGAATATTGTGCAACCCACGGGGTCTTTCCAATTCTCTTTAAAAGATTACGAGCTCTCGGGACTTGCTTCACTACCAAATACGCCATAGCCATCACAACCAGGCACGGAATATTCTCACGCTACAAAATAAAAAATAATATGCAAATTTATGTACTTGTAAACTGAAAGCTAAAAGCAGGGTTTCCCACAGAATTCAGACCAAAATTGAATTTTTTACAAATTTTGAAAGTTGCTCAAAAATCGGGCGAAAGTCCCTGTACTATAGTACAGGGCTTTTGGCCAAATTTTGTCAAAATGGCTAGAAAAGAATTCTCAATTTTTATAATTTTTTCTGATACACATACATGTTCTTATGTTGTGTAGCAAGTTTGAACTGGTTCCAACCAAAATTGATTTTTTTACAAATTTTTAAAGTTGATCAAGAATTGGGTCAAAGTCTAACCATACTATTATAGTGCTCATAAAGCTTATGCTGTTTAGCTCACTTAGCATGTTTTGTGGGAGACCTTGTCTAAGAGATACCAAAATGCATCTGTATGATACAAAATGTACAGTTGTACATGTACATGTATATACATGTAACTTCACTGAAATAACATTCAATTACTTTATTTTGAGGTAAATCATTAAATTTTGCTATCACTGTTTCAGCATTTTGCCTAGACTGTCCTATCAGCAGTATATAGTTCTCCAACACTTTCACTTTCAAAATGCTAGCATTAGATTTTGGCCTAATCTCCTATTAATTAATTAACCTAATAACCACACCCACTCAATTGATATTATTACCCTTAGTAGTTTTTCTGCCGTTCTGGCAGCAATCAACTGATATTCTAGTCTCTTTTTATCGCCACTAATAAAAGGGGAGGAGCTAGTTATAAATATTAATAATAATAACGAATACCTTGCATCAATATCAGATCCTTTCAATGATTCACATCCTGTAGATATTAATAATAGTTAATTAACTACAATTTAATAACTAACCAATGATTTCGCTTGTGCTCAGACAGATTTCAATCATATTAAACAAAGCCTTCTCTCCCCTAATAATAATAATAATAATAATAATAATAATAATAATAATAATAATAATAATAATAATAATAATAATAATAATAATAATAATAATAATAATGATCTAAAATTTACCATTCTGAGTCGTGACGTGTATAGTTAAAATGTTTGAGAGCTTCTTCATTATCACCTTTATACCTGTAAACCACACCCACCCAATTAATTAATAATTACCTAATATTATTTTCATACCATGAAATTAATCCTTTGCAGTACTTCAAACCTGCTTCATAATCTGGATGAGTAGTTTGGAGCTCCGCCTACATAATAATTAATATTTATCAGTAGTTATTAATATTTTAATATTAATAGTTATCGGTAGTTATTAATAGTTATTACCAGTTCAATAAAGCTATCAGCTTTGTGTATAACTCCACCTCTTCTCAGCAGCTCAATGTAACGTGCCAAAGCTTTAAAATGAGCTACAAATAAATAAATAAAAT